ATTTTCGCTGAGGAAAAAGTTGTTTCAAATCACCTCCCGGACCACCTCTTTCAAGGTGTTACAACGTTTTTAGGACACCCTGTATATACATAGTGGAGGTGATTTGAAACAACTTTTTCCTTTGCAAAAATGTCTGATGGGGTTTCGTTAAGGAGATATTAACGGAAAACACTGACCAATCAGAGCGCGAGTATGCTGGTGGAGCGTAGGCTACGCGCTAGGCTGCCGCGCTCATACGCTACCGCGAGCGCTCCACCGGCATACTCGCGCTCTGATTGGTCGGGGAGTGCGACCGCCTCGCGCTCTGATTGGTCAGTGTTTCTCGTTAATATCTCCTCAACGAAGCCTCGGACAACATTTTTGCAAAGGAAATTGTTGTTCAGAATCGTCTCAGCTACCTTCCATTTCCGGCTCCTCCCCGACTTTTGGGACACCCTGTATATATATCTAATGTCATAGATGAAAAATATAAAAAATATCAGGTGAAGATGTTCGAGGTTAACGGAATGGGTAATTCAGCCATCTATTGAAGATAGATACATATATATATCTAATGTCATAGATGAAAAATATAAAAAATATAAAAAATATAAAAAATATATCAGGTGAAGATGTTTGAGTATACGGAATGGGTAATTCAGCGATAGAGCAATATATTGCGGTTAAGGAAAAGATATAAATTCGTTAGAGCCGCTAACGAAATCTAAAATGTCAAGAGTTTCCGGAAACATCCGGGATGTCCAGAGCTCAAACATATTCCGAGTTCGCAGGGAAGCTAGAAGAAAGTCTAACAGTAATTAACAATCGCGCCGCAAAGTCGCCGAGAATGGTATTATAAATTTTAATTTCGTAAAAGTTCGCTCGGAAAATCGCGAAAGCCAGACGGGTGACGTTGGCAGAAGAACTCAGCTGAGAAACGAGTAGAACGCCGAAGGTGATCGAAGTCGTACAGATAGCGTTTAGAAACAATTATCGAAGCATAGGTAAATTTCTCACCGATCATTTTTGCTCTCACTTACGAAACCACGCTATACAAAAATTATAGCGCGCGTATAACAAAACTCTAATAGATTTTTACGGAACGGGCGTTGGTTTTCGAAATATTCTGATTCAAAGTTCTATACGCGTCTAGTAACTCGATTCCGTGAAACCATAATCAAAGATTGATCGGTGGATGAAGGGACAGAGTAAAAAATTCTCACAAAAATTCGAGCCAAGTTCGACTCTCCGTTGGTTGCGATAGATTTTCTTTCCTCTTATTCCATTGTTTCCTTTAATCATCTAATGTTTAATCGCGGAACGATAGAACCCATTCCGAACAACCATAAGGGTTTTGCTACACTAACGTGCGCCGCAATTTCTATATTCGTGGTCGCAAAAGCGAGAGTACGACCCGGTACTGTCCCCTGCCGTGATAGTCCCCCGGCTCTAATGTTTCCAAAGACATTTATCTATAAGCGTAACGCAGGCAGCGTAACGAAGTCGATTCTCTTGATAATTCCGGTTTCGTAACACGTACAGGTGAAGTTAACGTGCCGTGCAAGAGGGGTGCCACCGCCCCGCGTGTCGTGGCGCAGAGAAGACGGCCAGCACATTATAATTCGGAAGCCATTTGCAGGAAGCGCTCTCAACCAAAAGTCTCACGGTAAGATTTAATATAGATGACGCTCCCGCCAATTTAACATGGAATATACAATTACGTGCATATACCGCGAACCTTGCTATTCTAATTTCCTTATTTCGCCGGCCTTCGACCGTCTGCTGGGAACGTTACTTTCTCGAAATTCTTCACCGACGCTCGACATGGGAATTTTCCCGCGGAAGACGATCTCTTTTCCTCCTACACCTCTCACCAAATATTTTCCAACCATCCTTCTTCTAATCTTTCGGGACTTCTTTCTCTCTCGTAAACAGTACAAGCTACGAGTACGCGTCATTTCACGAAATATGCTTCGTTTCGACGGTGGAAAATTCAGTTTTCACTCGACGGAAAAAATCTATATATATTTTTTTTCCGGGGTGTCATGAGATCTGCATCGAGAGAAAAAGTTTCGATCCGAAGCGATCGTTGCCAAATGAGCTACGAACTGGTAACGATTAAGCAGCGTTTGATATCAAAAATTCTTCATCGAAGGGCGATTTTTAGTTTCTTACATTTTTCGCTAATTCTTAATCGGACCAAGAATTTTCTTTCCCAATTTCACGGGGTACCTATAAACGTATATCGCCCGGTGGAATTCGATAACATATCAACCAAAGGTGATCGAGGGAGCATGGAAGAGCATGGTAGAGCATGGAAAATCTTCGGTTCAGTTTTGCCCGATCACAAGCGAGATTTCCATTGTTTTCGAAGTTCTTTCGAAATTCAAATTTAAAGCAACCATTTTCCGGCGTAATTGTACAGACTCGCCGGTAGTCGGGACATACAACGAACCGTTGTTTGTCTGTAACAACTCGAATTTGACTTTCGAGAATTGAGTTTTTTCCGAGGTCGGCGAAGCGGTGGCATGAAATCGCGGAATATTCGATAGAGAGAAACGAACCAGCCTTTCCTCCACCGGCCAGAACTAAACGACGTATTTAGTATTCGCTTCAGCATGGTGTTACTAATAGCGGGCAAATTTCAGCGTACCGTCGACGATGCCGTCGGGCAATGTGCACGCGAGTGCAACCCTTGCAACACGTGCTAAGTGTAGTGGCCGTAGTTACGAGCGAAAGGGATAGCGTATTGTCGGCCTACAATGGCGATAATTATCGGATATCGCGAAGCCAAGTCGCGACACACAGGCTACGAGTGCTGCAGCCTAATCGTTCCCAGACTCGGGATCTCTAAACGCGTTGAAAAACGACCTGTTCGCGATGCGTTTTCTTTGTAATCGCTCTCGTTTCCAGCGTGTCGCGGCCAAACAAACGCGGAAACCGTTCCGCGGAAACTATTCCTCGGAAACTACTCCTCCGTGCTACTCTTAGCCGGTTTCATCACCCGGACCTCGCGAAACCATCGATTTTCTAGAAGCTACGGATCGCAAGGGCCGCCAGTGGTACTCACAATTTCTGATTTAATTACGCCGGGAGTAGCGAGTAACGCGATTGTTTACTTTCCGCAACGTAAACTGGGTCCCTTGAATTTCATTAGTAATCGTACCGCCGGGTGCTTTACGTCGGAATTTCCGGTGAAAATCATATCGAGATCAGACGTCGCGAGCCAGACGTTTCGAATTCCGAGTTCCTCGTCGAGCTACGTCGAACTGCGACTCGGCGCTGGATTGCTACTGCTGTCTGATGTAATCTGACGCGCGGATGATGCCAGAGGTAATTATGTCGCAATTACATTCGATTATATAAAGAGCACGGGACGTACAATAGGAACGAGTGTTTGATTCGAAGAAGAACCAGCGAACGGGACGTCGGTCGAGAAAGCTTCTCGAAGATCCAAACTAAACGAACACTATATTTCGAACACTCTATTTCCAACGAATCAAAATTGGCATGTTTGTACGGCAGCACGAACTATCGATGGTCGACTCTCCCATGCTCGAATTCGGTTCCCATGAAACCGATGCTAAAACTGTTTCGGCGATTTGTTTCCGACGATTAGTCTTCGACAATTATCGTTTCCAGTGTCTTCGCTGGCCGAGTATCAAGGGGAGGAGCTGACGCTGACCAAGATCTCCAGGAACGAGATGGGAGTTTATCTGTGCATCGCCAGCAACGGCGTGCCACCGGCGGTCAGCAAACGTATTTTTATCAACGTTCATTGTGAGTAATAGCGATTGCACTCGGCCCCGATCATTTACCGATTTTCTCCGCTCGACTACTACGATTTCCTATCTTGGTTTCTGCTTCACAGTCTCGCCTGTTATTCATGTACCTAATCAACTGGTCGGTGCTCCTCTGGGTACAGACGTGGTCTTGGAATGTTTTGTCGAGGCTTCGCCCAAGTCCATTAATTATTGGGTCAAGGATAGCGGTGAGATCGCTGTTGGACGTTTTAGCCTCTAGCTAACACGGGAACCCGGCACGCGCGCTTTTATATTCCCTGTGCGAGTAGATCACGTCGTTTCGTCGATCTTTCGACGCTGTCGTCGCTCGCGAGTGACAGTTTGACGCTCCTGGCAAGCTTTACGAGGCTCGAGCTTTCGCTTCGAGGTTTACAGAAGTTAATATTTCCGGATGAGTCTCGCAGCCACCGGGAATTACGCGAACTTTTGCTCGGATTTATTTTATTCGCCGCTTGACCTTCGGAGTAGGGTATAGAGATCTCTCGGTGGAACACGCTGCGGTCTACGCTAAACCTTCGAAGCAACGAAAGGGTTGATCTGTTCGTGGCATTGATCGAGCAGGATAGGTAATTTCAGCCGCTGGCGAACCATAATTGATACGAACGCGTCATGTCCATATATTTCGACGAATCTTCTTCGACTATGTACGTATCGGAGGAGAAAATCCTTACGGTTATTTCGATGTTTCTTCGTTGGACATTCGGTTCGTGACGATTGTGATTCGTTGGCCGAGTCAGTTCAATCTATAATACACTTTGTATTAATTTGGCCTGTTAAACTCGAATGTCGCAATGAAATTTTTGCGGATTGTCTTCATCGAAGGCTTGTCCTCTTCGTAAAAGTGCGGTCTGTACGTAAACAATAGGAAACCGGACGTTACTCGACAGTCTTTATTTTTGCGTGGCGATAGAAGGAATTTTCGTGGTCTATCTCGGACCGAAAAATCGAAGTTTCTCGTGTATCTTTGCCCGTAACATTTAAACCATTGAATGGATTGGAAAACAATGTCGGAATCAATTGTCAGAAATTCGATCACCTTCGATGTGGTACCTGGCGCGACCCGATCGGACGTTTCTAACTCGAGGTACGGTCTGAAACGCGAAGCTACCTCGAAAGACAAAGTCGAAAGAAAATTGAAAAATTCGTATCTCGAAAACCTATCCGTAAAAATAAATTTCATTGCGATTTTCGAGTTCAGCGGGCCGAAATGCATAAGAAAAAAATAGTGCCATTTCACGTACATTTGTTTTCTCTATTTTGTAAACAAGTGTAATTATCGGAAAGTCTATGCGTAAAAATAAATTTCATTGCGATTTTCGAGTTCAGCGGGCCGAAATGCATAAGAGAAAAATAGTGCCATTTGACGTACATTTGTTTTCTCTATTTTGTAAACAAGTGTAACCATCGGAAAGTCTATGCGTAAAAATAAATTTCATTGCGATTTTCGAGTTCAGCGGGCCGAAATGCATAAGAAAAAAATAGTGCCATCTGACGTAGACTTTTTTTTTTCAAGAATGAACAACGTAATTGACGAATATATGTAGAATAAGAATAGTGTTCCACGAGGGTGCGATCGAGAGGTGCAGCTACTTTTTTTTTTTTAATAAATACCACGTCATTATCAGTGGCTGCGAGTACCGTTTCAAGTAGAAGCGCGTAGCGATGGTCGGACACGGTGTTCGAAAAACGATGCCAAGAAACACGGGGCGCCTTTTCCTTAACGGGTTTAATATTTCCCTGCGGAAGTTGGCAAAAAAAGTTGCAGACAAATGCGAGAGTGAATTACTCTCGGCCGTTCGCAAATATATTCCCGGAGCAGTTTGTAGCCTGTACGAGTAGACACGCTTTCGCTTTAGAGCAACTTCTGCAGAGTACTTCGTTCCAATGCATTCGTATGTAATTTTCGCCTAGCACGGAAAATCCAGTGGCCCCTTTTTCGCCGCTCTATGTATGCTTTATATACTACGCTATATGTACCGTATACATATACACGTGTACGCGCGCGCGTGTGTGTGTGTATAATATACACTTAGTATATACGACAGTTTGGGAGTTTAATAAGGTGAGCACGCGTTTAAGAAGTGAATTTCCGTACGCTTTCGTATCATATCCGCGTTTTCTTCTCGTTTTCAATATAGCCATCTTGTATGTAGCTGTATGCATATCCACCGAGGTACATTTAAACCGCCTGCCTTCGATTAAATAACGACGAGCTTTAACCCTTTGCACTCGAGGTATTTTCTTCTGGTATCTGCCAGCGAC